ACAAGTATTAACAACCGAACCTAAAAATAACAAACTAAGCAAACAACTAGAACAGGAACAGAATCATAGAAATGGAGATCACATGGAGGGTTATCAGCGGGGGAGCGGGAAAGAGAGAGACAAGGAAAAGGTATAGGGAATAAGTAGCATAAATAGTAGACAGAAAATAGACAGTGGGAGGTTAAGAATAGTACAGGAAATATAGAAGCCAAAGAACTTACATGTATGACCCATGGAAGTGAATTAAAGTGGGGGAATGTGGGTGGGAGGGGGTGTGCAAGACAGAGAGGAATAATTGGGGTAAAATGGGACAACTGTAATAGCATAAGCAATAAAATATATTTAAAAAAAATAAAATGTTGTAAATGCCAAAAATAAAAAGAAAATGGACATACGAGTCCAGGAAGCATAGAGTCCCAAACAAGATAAACTGAAAGAGGCCCACACCAAGACACATCAAAGTAAACTGTAAAAGGTTAAAAACAAAGAGATAATCTTTTATTTGCTTATTTATTTTTAGAGAGGGGGAAATGGAGGGAGAAAGAATGGGAGAAAAACATCAATGTGTGGCTGCCTCTCACACACCCCCTACTGGGGACCTACCCCACAACCAAGGCATGTGCCCTGACTGGGAATCAAACCAGCGACCCTTTGGTTTGTAGGATGGTACTCAATCCACTGAGCCACACCAGCCATGGCCAAAGAGATAATCTTAAAAGCAGCAAGAGAAAAGCAGTTAGTTACTTACAAGGGAGCGTCTGTAAGACTGTCATCTGATTTCTCAACAGAAACTTCGCAGGCCAGAAGGGTTGGCAAGGAATATTCAAAGTAATGAAAAGCAAGATTACTCAGCAAAGCTATCATTTAGAATGGAAAGATATATAAAAGAACTTCCCAGACAAGAAAAAGCTACAGTTCATCATCACCAACCAATATTACGTAAAATATTAAAGGGAAGAAGAAAGAAGGAGGTACAAAAGGGAGGGAGGGAGAGAGAGAAGAAAAGGAGGAGAAAAATAAGGAGAAGTTGGGGGAGGAGGAAGAGAAGAGGAGATAAAAAATATAGACACTAAAATGGCAATAAATACATATCTATCAACAACTGAATCTAACAGAATAAATGAACAAGCAGAACAGACTGATACACACAGAGAACATTTTGGTGGTTGCCAGATGGGATATGGGATGGAGGATGGGGGCTGGGTGAAAAGATGAAGGGATTAAGAACTACGAATAGGTAGTAATAGAATAAATGGTGATGTAAAGTACAGTATAGGGAATATAGTCAATACTATTCTGATAACTATGTATGGGGTCAGAGGGGTGTGAGATTTATCGGGATGATCAGCTAGTTATATAACATCTCATCACCGGGGTGTACACATCTGAAACTAATATTCTCTGTCAACTGTAATTTAAATATAAAAAAATTTATAAGTCAAAGTACACAAAATAAAATTCCACTTATCTAGAAAGAATACCATACAACATTAGCTCTTATAATAAAGGTTAAAATGCAAATAAAACTTTAAAAATTAAGTTTTAATTGCTAACATCCAATTACTGTTGATGAAAGGAAGGAAAACTACCAATTGAATTATGAAATTATCCTCAGTTTAAATTATATCCTACAGAAAACTTGACTAGCGAGACCTAGGTACCAGTATGGATTTGATTTTCAAATTAAAAAGGAAAAGAAAAAGAAAGAAATGGAGATAGTTGGTGATGCAACTTTACTGAACCGCAAATGCATATGATTAGAGCAATTTACTCTTAAAAGGAGGCAGTATCTCTATAAAGAAAACAGCTCCTGAACAACAGCTGCATGAATGATGTTAGTCCTTTCCCATCTTGCTGTTTCAATGCCTTAGTTCCACCTCCCTCCTGATGATGGGTGAAACTAGCTCTGGTTCTAAGATAAACTGACATTAGGAAATAAGATTAAAAGCAAAAATAAAACTACATTTCTTTAAAAAAAACAGCTTAAGGAGAACATCTTAAGTATCTCCCAGTGCTAAAAACTGAATTCCAACAGTAGTATTCTGCAGTGGGCAGTGCCATCAAATCCGCTTCAAAAAAGCTATAGCTTGGTCCCCCTTCCTGTTTCTAGTGAATGCATATTCCTGGTGACCCGAGTGCCTGCTCGGGAATGGAGCCCAGCCCTGAAATCCCAGTGTGGGAATCTGGCCCCACCAACTGTGATGAGATTATACGTTAGGCACTGTTCTCAGTGCTAAACGCACAAGTAACTGCCTGACACAGATGAGTAGTGTTCGCCCTCCAAATTCTTCATTTTGAAACATCCTGACAATCCTTTTAGTGCTCTCCTGGTAACCAATTTCTGGAATGTGACCAAGCTCATGAAACCCCTAAGCAAAGTTTCTTATTTACCTAGTTGAGCCCTTGCTATTAGCCAGCTTAAGCTGCTCTATTAAACAGACAAATGCCAAGTTTTTGTCCTTCTTCATGTGATTTGCTCTGCTGTGAATCATGGGAGAAGTGATGTCTTTGGGAAGACTGTACTGGGCTGAGTTTTGAAGTGTTGCTTCAACTGTGACATGTCTTTGGACTGTGCTGTCCTATATGGTAGCCACCAGCCACATGTGTATTCAACACTTGAAATGTGGCTGATTGGAAATATGTGCTTTAAGTAAAATACATATTGTATTTGAAAGAATCAGTACAAGAAGGAAAGATTAAATGTTGAATAAGACATATTTGTTAAATACATACACTATTAAATTCAGCTATTTCTTCTCACCTTCTAAAATGTGGTTACTACATTATTTTAAATTGCACATGTCATTGACATTATATTGCTACTGAACTTTCCTGCTTTAGAACATTTAACTAATGGTAGCAACAAGAGTCATTATTTTAAGAGAAGGGTATATGTAGATTATCATTAGAAAATATTTAAAAATGGAACTCCTTTGCAGAAAAACTGCCAGGTAACAAATGCTGGAGAAATGTTAGGTTAGATTATTACCATTCTGTGAGCTCCATTGGAATGAGCAACACTGATGGATGCTAAGACCACTGGTGGCAAAATTACACCCTGTAGATTACTTATAAACTGCAACCACAAGACCTGGTGGTCTTTAACTACTTTATCAAATGGTCAAACTTAGCATATGAATAATGCTACAACTTGCCATTACATGCCTCTTGATATGCAGTAAATTAAGGTAAACATTACCTACAAAGAATTTTGAAGCAATGTTTTATTTTGAAAATTTTCAAACATAGAACACAATGAAAGAATTTATAGCAAAAACCTGTACTCATGCTATCTAATATTTTACTACATAGTACTAACTTTATCACATATCCTATCCATTTTACTTTGATGAACTTCAAAGTAAATTGCAGTCAATAGTACATACCCCCCTAAATAATCTATGACATATTCTTGCCAGAAATGTTTAACCTGAATCTAATCAAGCCTCTAATGCTAACTTCCAGTTTACAGAAAATACAGGGCTATAGAGGAATCGGTTAACTGACAATGAGAGAAAATTAAAAATCCAGAATATGGGACATTCTGTAATATGCGATTCTAAGAATCTTAAAAAACAACAACAAATTACAACTTGTCAAGCTAAATCAGATACTATTCAATTTTTAAAAAGCTACAATAGCCATTCTTACAACAAAGAGAGAAATGTGAATATGGACTGGGTATTTGTTGATATTAAGGAATTATTATTGATTTCTATCACATCTTAAATGGGCAACAAACTGTGGTATGGAGGTGACTGTCATTTTTGGAGATGAATGCTGAAGAGTGTATGTGCATACATGCACACATACGTATTTTGAATTTATTCATTCATTTATTTATTTATTTTATTGCAAATACAGCAAAATGTTAACAATTATTGATTCTAAGAAGAGTGTAAACAGATGTTTCCTATGTTGGTCTTTCAACTTTTCTCAGAAAGTACATTGAAACATTTCAAAACAAAAACTGGAGGTGGAGGACAGATAAAAACTTCACTGCAGAGAGGTTCATATGGTCTCTTCTGCTTTGGCCTGCCTGGGCTTTTCAGGTCAAGAATGTGATCTTTGGGGGAAAAAATCGTGCTATAGACACACACAAAAATATGTCTCTATAACATTATTTCTACCTCAGAGCCAATGCTATTACTAGCTAAGATTCTTCAGTATGCAATATTACAACTGGTAATTCAGTCTGCAAGCAAAGGCTGTAATGCTGTGGCATTACAGAAGACAGCTCCATCACCAGGTGAGCCTGAGATCAGGCCCACCCCCATCAGTCTGTGTTACGTGTAGACTGTGACAATGTGTCACACAACTTCAGATTTTTTTACACACCACTTGTTAAAAATATCCTGCAATAGAATTTGCTGATTCCTGGCACCTCCGAGACAAAGTTTCTGTGATCTTTTTTCCTAAGATTTTATTCTGCTTCCCAACCTACTGCTATTCCCTAAGTCATCAGGACAGCTTCACCTGTAAGTGCAAAGACACACTCACCACTCAAATAATTAGAATTATAAACAGAAAATCATTAGCAGAGATCACTCACTATAGTACAGCATGAACAAATAAAAGTATAAATTTATACCACTAACTAAAACAAGATTTACCAGACAAACAAGAAATCTAGACACGGAATCTTATGTGTGTACCTGCAGTTGGGGAAAAGCAAATCACCCACTGACAACCAGTACCTTTCTTTCAGACTTCAGTTGGAAATATCGTATTACCTGGAAACACAGAGGCACCCTGGAGGAAGGAGTGAAAAAAACTAGATAACATTAGACGCTGAACTTAAATACTGTACAATTGGGGATTAGGTTTTACAGTTAAGAGTGTTTTACAATGAAGAGTGTTCTTTGTCTTAAAGGAACAACAAACAGTAAAAACTGAAAGTATTGCACCTTGGTGAAGATAAGGCAGCACATGCATTCAATAAAGTAATTAATTACATATGTGTCGTTTCACATACGATGAAAAACGAAAATTATATTTACCAGGGTTTGTCTTCTCAAGTTGATACCATCGGTAAAACGCCCTCTTCTTCTGTTCACTCAGGTCTGATCCTTGTTGCAACAGCCAGTGAGAGATCCGGCTCTGACTGATACCTATGTAGGAAGAGAAACAGCTGTTGCAAGTACTGGAACTATGGGGAAGTCAGGGAGGGTTCTGTTGGTTCTAGGTTACTGGGCCCTTTAAAATTCTTTCCAGCGAATCCAGTCGCGCGGGTCCCAAACCCAGGATTGGACCTGGTGAGCCGCCGAGCAGCCCACTGGGGGAGCGACACAGTGGGGAGGCGGTGGCAACAAGTTGACTGTTGACTGTGGTTGCCTGGTTACGCGCGAGTGAGGGAGTGAGCGGTTGGACCCGCCCGGGTTGGACCGGCCGGCGGCGGCTGCGGCGGCAGCGGCGGCGCGCCATTTCCCGCTCTGACCACGCCCCCACATACAGCGTCACAACCCAGCGACCTGGGACTCCAAGGCGCCGCTTGTCCCACTTAAAGGGCCAGAACAGACCAAAAATGTCGCAGGCAGAACTCAAAGCCCCAGAGATAAATCTAAATGACGAAGAAATAGCAAAACTCTCAGACGCACAGTTTAAAACACTGGTCATCACCTTCCTCACAGATTTGGTGGATTACAGCCACAAATTAGAGAAACATATGGAGGCTAAATTAAGGGAAATGAATGGAATTCCACTCGAATCCCATAGAGATGAAAAGGAAACTGGGACTCAAATCAATGCAGTGGACCAGAAGAAAGCAAATAATGGACAAACAGAAAAGAGTCAAGGAGCAAGAATTCAAAGAAATGAGAAGAGTCTTAGGAACCTCCAGGACATCTTTAAACGCTCCAATATCCGAATTATAGGGGTACCAGAAGGGGGAAAGACACAACCACCAGTGGAAAAACTATTTGAACAAATAATAAAAGAAAATTTCCCCAATCTGGCAAAGGAAATAGACTTCCAAGAAATCCAAGAAGCCCAGAGAGTACCAAAAAGTTGGACTCAAGAAGAAACACACCAAGGCATATTATAATTACATTAGCCAAAATTAAAATGAAGGAAAGAATCCTGGAAGCAGCAAGAGCTAAGGGGACAATCACCTACAAAGGAGTCCCCATCAGGCTGTCAGCAGATTTCTCAAAAGAGACCTTACAGGCAAGAAGGGGCTGGAAAGAAATATTCCAAGTCATGAAATCTAAAGACCTACAACCAAGATTGCTCTACCCAGCAAAACTCTCATTTAGAACGGAAGGACAGATAAGGTGCTTCTCAGATAAGACCAAATTCAAGGAGTTCATCATCACCAAGCCCTTATTATATGAAATGTTAAAGGGACTTATCTAAGAAAAAGAAGATAAAGAAACATGAACAGTGAAAGGACAACAAACTCACAGTTATTAACAACCACACCTAAAACAAAAGCAAACTAAAAGGACAGCTAGAGCAGGAGTGGAAACATAGAAATGAAGATCTCAAGGAGGGTTAGCAACAGGGGAATGGGAGGAGGAGATGGGGGGAGAAGGTACAGAAAACAGGTAGCATAGACAGTAGATAGAAAATAGATGGGGGGGGGGGCGAGAATAGTTTGGGAAATATAGAACCTAAAGGACTTGAGACACATGGACATAAACTAAAGGGGGTAATGGTGGGGTTGGGGGGCAGGGTGGAGGGGAATGGAGGGGGGAATAGAACAACTGTAACAGCATAATCAATTCAAAAAAATAAATAAATTTAAATTAAAAAAAATAAAAAAAATAAAAAATTCTTCTCTATAAGGAAGCTGCAACCTGAACACTCTTTCGTATTGGGTGTTTCTGTAAAGGCTGACTGCATGGGCTAGGATATATTCAGAATAATCTACTAGAGGTCATAGCATTGTATTGGCCGAGATTTGAAAGTGGCCTCTAAAATCAACCTCCAACCCTGTTCCACAAATATATGAGAGATACATGAAAAGCTTTCTAAGTAATAGCTATTTGTCAGAAGTTGTTCAGATTTGTGCTCCTTCAACCACCACCACCTCTACTCCAATCTGGGTTTAGAGTATTCGAACTTTTACTAGATATTGAGAAGAAAAAAAATCAAGACAGCAAGTTCTGCTACTCATTCCTGATACTAAGAAAAAGAGTTAGGGGCTGGGAAAGGGGAGGTCACTGAAAATACTCTCTTCCATAAGGTTCTTGGCTCATTTGTTAATTCACTTAGGCATTTCAGATTCATCGCAATTAGTAGAGATAACTAAGGATCGGAAGACTTTTAGAGTTCTGCTGCAATGTGACCTCTTAAGAATTTTCAAGAGGTAAAGACAGTCTTTTAACAGACTTTTCAAAAAACTGAGCAGAATATAAAGCAGCTTTCAGCTATCACTAAGAAGTTCTTGACAGCAATTAATTAGAAATGTGAAAAACCTCTACATGTGAAAGTAAAAGAGTGTGTCTAAAACTCACTAGTATGAAAATCACATGCTCCTTCTGGTCATTATAGCTATTCAAAAAATGAATAATTTAACACACAACTTGCAAAAGCAAAGAAAAATAGGAAAGATGAAACATATGTCCAAAGGGCACTTTCTAAAGGACCAGCCAGCGATCAGAGAGGGTGAACAGTATCTGAACTCTCCCAAGGAATTTCTGCTGGTAACTGGATAGTACTGAATACCACTTGTGCCAACACCTGTTTAAAGCAATAATACACAGCAGGAGGAGTGGTTATCATGAAGTGATCACGCCCCTTCACGTGAGAAGCAAGAGGCTCGGTAATCACATTTAAGTCAGTAACAGAAAGTCCCTGAAGTTTCATATTTTAAAAAATCTATGTTAGAGGATAATTTGGAGAGGAGTTTTGTTACAAGACAAATTGAGCTGGGAAGCAAAGTTCTCTGATTGGAAACAAAGTTCCCGTTCAAAGGGTGAAATTTAGTTTTCCCAAACCTAAGTAGCTACATTCTCAAATAACCCACACAGTGCTTTTTCAATGCACTGAAGATCAACGTGATGCAGGTGCTGCAGCTAGCACTGCAAGGCTTGTTCTGCGTGAACTCTGATTACTTAGAATTGTCTGTGTTTAGCGATGCCTTCACCACAAGGCGAGGTTCAGACATTATACTACCCTTTTAAACAAGAGTGAAGAAAACCACCATTTACTATCATGAAATGAAAATTGATTTTCATGTCAAAAAAATAAAACATTTTATATGGACTTTTCATGTTGGTAGCATACTACTAAAAAACAAAGAAAATATAAGAAAAATCTTTTAAGAAAAAATGGACTATATCACTCCTGTTACTTTCGGTGTTAAATCTCCCTCATACAGATCACGTGCAACAAACTCAGAGCCCACTTGATATTATGCTGTTCGGGTTCTGGCTGTGCTGCAGGGGAAGAAGGCAAAAGCCCATCAAAAGAAAATTAGTGAAATTATGATATACTCACATTATAGAAAACTGGGAAGACTTTAAAAGTAATGTTCTAAATCAGCCACCCAAACCAAACAACAACAAAACCAACCAAACAAAAGTCTATCGATACCAAGTGTTGGCAAGGACATGGAATATATGGAACTCTCATACTACTGATGGAAGGGTAAAATGTCAGGACCACTTTGGGAACAGGTGGGCCATACCTACTAAAGCTAAACATAAGCATGACATAGGATCTAGCAGTTTCTCTCCTCAGTATACAGCACAAAGAAATATATGTTCAACAGCAAGGTGTTCTAAAGACATATATACAAGAAGGCTTATATTAAATATTATCCATAACAGTCCCTGATTTGAAGCAACTCGAATACCCATCAACTGAATTCATAAACTGGGATACTTATGCATTCACCTACAGACCTACTATACCGAAGAGAAAAAGGACAAACTACTGCTACGTGCACACCATGGATAAATCTCACAGAAACAATGTCCCTCCCCCTCCCCCAAATAAGACACATACAAAAGCCACACACAGCTGTATGATTCAGTTATATAAAACTGAAAAACAGACACAATTATCTATGTGAATGGCCATCACAGCAGTGCTGGGCTACCTGTGGCTTGGACGGAGCAGGTTAGGCACTGGGAGGCAGCGTGAGGAAGGCTTATGGAGTGAGCAGCACTAATGTTCATCTGGACGGTGCTGATACGCATGGCTTCACTTGGTAAACATCGTTAAGCTAAATACCTTTCTCTGCTTATATTTCAGTTTGTAGAAGTTTCCAAAAAAAGTTTTTAAAATTCTATGTAGTATTTAAAAAAAGTAAATGGATATGTATCAGTATGAAAAGATGCCCGTGATACAAATGACAAAGTATACAACTTTATAACTACGTAAGCTACATAATCTATATTCTGTTCTATATAGTAACAAAAACTTACACACAGCCAAAGACAGCAGAGTGGCAGACCCCTACACAGTATACCTCTATTGTTTTCTTCATTGTTCCACAAATAGGTACTACTTTATTTTATATTTAGCCTTCCCTTATAAACACTACATATTTTACTTGTTGTTTTAAAACACTGCAATTAAGTTAGACAAAGTACAAAAAAGAAGTTAATTTCGGCCTCCCCTCAGTAAACAGTAAATAACAGTAACAGTAAACGATGTCAACTGTTAATATGTTACTCCATAATTTTCTCTATGCATAATTATTAATTTAATAAAGCAAAGGGACAGAAGGTAGTAAAGAAAGAATATTCTTGTGTCTAATCTTTTGTAGGAAAGAAAAGAAAAAAATAACTTCCCTGTAAACTTAATCCATTTTCATATAATAATATAGAAAATGAAGTAACGTGGCAGGTAGTTTTTCTACAAGAAGCATGATAAAAAATGTGTAAAATACACATATTTTTCCAATGATTTTTCTCAGTTACCAGCTTAATGATAGGTAAAGTTCTTTCAACTCACCCTTTGGAGGCTGCTCTGTGCTTTCAGAACTTTGGGTGAGCTTGGTGTCAAAGGGCCATGCGGCTTCCCTACACTACCAGTTTTTGTATTTGTCCTTGGGGAAAAAAGTTTTCCTAACTCTCCTCTTACTGCCTACTGCAGAAAAAAAAATATTCTCCACAACTTTTAGCTCTTCAAAGCCTCTTTTCTATCTTTCACAGGGCAA